ATTACCATGGAGTTATTGTCGCGAAGAATGGGGCGATCAGTGTATAGATTCAAAAATTCAAAGGGATGGAACTCCCAAAGTTGTACGCAATATTACTGGGGTAAAGAAAACATCAGCAGAATTTTATTTTGTGTAAGTTTTCAAATCAATTTCAAATATTATAAAATTAAAATAATCAATTTTTCAGAAATATAGTTCTCCACGAAAAGGCCAATATAGATGATGGTATTGGTGTCCCGAATTGGAGATTAGCCATAACCTTGGCCGTTTCATGGCTGGTAATAGGTGGTGTCATCATAAAGGGTATTAAAAGTTCCGGTAAAGCTTCATATTTCTTGGCCATATTCCCCTATGTGATTATGTTGGTTTTGCTGGTGCGTTCGCTGACTTTACCGGGTGCATTTGATGGTGTTCTGTTTTTCCTTACACCACAATGGGATCGACTGTTGGATGCGAAAGTGTGGTATGCTGCAGTTACACAGGTTTTCTTCTCGCTAACCGTTTGTTATGGCATTATTTTGATGTATGCCTCATTTAATCGGTTCCGCCATAATATCTATAGGTAGGGGGAATTCTTGAATTTGAAATTTTTAAAAATTTGATTATAAATTTGTAAATATTTTTAGAGATTGTAATATAGTGACATCACTGGATACATGCACTTCCCTGCTTTCGGGCATTGTTATTTTTGGCATTTTGGGAAATTTGGCTCACGAATCTAACAATCCCGATATAAAGAGTGTGGTTAAATCAGGACCTGGATTGGCGTTTATTTCTTACCCAGATGCTATAGCGAAATTTGAAGCAGTGCCACAGGTAAGAACAATGGAAGTTCTCAATTACCGATATATCTAATTGGGAATAAGGAACTTCTCCTCAAGGCCCCTCTTGAAATATAACATTTTCAGAGAAACAATTAAATGTAATTTTTTTTTTTAAATCCTTTTCTTTTAGATTTTCTCCGCCCTTTTCTTCTTGATGATGTTCATATTAGGTGTGGGGAGTAATGTAGGCGTTATTTCAAGTGTGATAACTGTGATATGTGATGGGTTCACTACGATCAAACGTTGGATTGTTGTTAGTGTTATGGTGGTGATTTGTTATTGCTTCGGACTGATGTATATCACACCCGGTGGCCAATTTATTATGAATTACATTGACTTCTATGCGGTGACTTTGGTGGCCATTGTATTGGGAATATTTGAACTGATTGCAGCCAGTTGGGTTTATGGTAAGTTAGACATAAACATATAATCCCATTTATCTTTTGGGGAAATCCAAAAAAATTCCAATTCCAATATCATCATCAATCATCACTATTTTAAACAAACCGACCTCTTACTTTAGTCAATTAAAAATATTCGAAAATTTCTGGTTTCGTCTTGGACCCAAAAAAATACATCGTTATGTTGGTTCCTTCAAACTACTATTCATAAAAAGTCAGATATTTGGCACCTTTAAAATATACCTAAAAACACTCTAAATTAAGTCCCTTAAAACTACTCATACATAAAATCTTATTTGGGTCCATTAATATTCCTTCAAATTGGCTTACGTTATAAAATAATCATGGACAAGTAAAAACGTCATTTAGATGTGTATGCGAACTTTTGGCATATATGCGCATTAAAAAAACTAGAAAGGATCAGGGCATTTGTAGGGTACTATTTAACGTCCGAGAAAACTAAATAACAAATAAAATGCCTTAGGCTCTAAAAATCGGATAAGATCTTTAACCTTTAACATTCGAGTAGGGTGTAAATTTTACCCCTTCCTTCAGTATATATTATAATTTGGTGACACATTGACAAACAAACAATGTAAAATATTTCAAAAAATGTATAAGGTGAATTTTACCACCACGTCCAAAATATGTTCTAAAATTTCACCTCACAAGTTTAAGCTTACCATATTGAAAATAGGTTTTAACCTAATATATTGGGGATTGTGTTAACATGTGGTTATGTTTATTAAATTTTTTCTGAAAATGATTTGTAACCTACTGGAAATTAGAGATTCGTTGTTTGAACCTTCAAAATACTGGGGCTATCTTAAACCTATATTAAGAATTGAATGCTAAGTGCGTTATGGGCCATAAAATTACCCAAAACATTTATATGTGGGCTATGTTAAAATATTCAAAAATTTGTGCAAATATATTTTTCGCAATCCGAAATAACATTTCTGTTAAGATTTTTTTCAACCTCTCCCGGAAAGCTAAATAACAGTCACATCTTTTAGAAAATACGTCTTAATCCATTAAAATACTTAAAAAGGCAAACTTTATATGAGGGTTATGCCAGAACCTGAACCCATATTGAACATTTTCTGCGAATTACTTTTTTGCCCACCAATAATTCGGTTATCATATTATAACCACTTCGGTTTGAAAATACCTACAATTGCGCAGGTCTTTTACAGAGATGGCCTGTCAGAAACAGTGACGTAAATGACATACATTTCCGACGTATAATACATACGTCAGAAACGTAGGAAACCTACTCAAATCCATTAGGTTTTTGACAAAATAGCATTTTCCATTAATCAATCTGGATATTACGCATGCTTAACTCAAATTAATATAAAATTTCAAAATTTTCTTCTCAAACAAATTTAGTAATTTTTACCAGTTCTAGCAAGGTATAGTGAGATATATGTAAAAATAATAGGTATTCTTGAAAATAACTGTATATGCTGATAATATTGAAATAAATGACGTTTACTACATTTATTACATTTTATACAGGTATATGACGTTTTCGACGTTTACACCTTTTTGACAGTCGAAAACCAAAAAATTCGTCACACGGACCATCCCTGGTCTTTTATATGGGGAAATTCGGACCTCTCCTTCTGATACCTTTGGTTTGACTTAAACCAAACATTGCCCAGCCAAGTTCTTTAACCAAACATGTCTAATGTTTGAATATGGGACTCATTGGCCCACTCCTTCTAGTAGCTCCCCCGCAAAGGATCAACATACCTCCCCCACAGAGGTTAACATTTTTAAAACATACAAATTTAACTTGCATGTTTTAATAGGGTGTATTTTCGATGTCGTGCAGATAATCAATATTTAGATAATGTATATGTCACATTTTTGATACGGACAGGTTGTATACTACTCTATCAGGATTTTTGGCAGAAAATGATGAATAGTTTATAAAATTGGTTCCTGGTTGATCTTTATGTCGGCGAATTTGGTCAATTAAACGACTGAGCGGAAATTCCATGTTGATGTTATGGTCTTTGTCAGAATACCTTTTCAAAGGCCATCGGGCAACTTTACCTAAGAACTCTAAGACATAATTGACTCGAGGTGACTATCCGAAATAACAAAAGGAATGTTCTCCTAACTTCGATAACCACTATACATAGATTGTCGACGTAAATTTGAAAGACAGTGCTTTTTTATCTTCAGAACGTTGGTAGTCCCATTTATGGACCAACAGGGCTATCAAATCGCGTTGGTTTTATGAAAGCATTCCTCCAAATGAGTCTTCCCTCGAGATGTATGTAAGCTGATTAAACTCTCTTCATTGTTATGTGTGTCTTTTTCCTTCGGCATTGTAGTTCCAAAGACCCGTAGTTTTCCATACTGCTATTGATTGTTCCATGACACATTACCTATTGACTCGGTTGATAGTAATGATAACAATAGATTTATATTCAAAGAAAACATATTAAATGGACCAAAAACTTTATTTTTATTTGTTTTTCTAGTCGTCCTATAGGCCACAATTATGACCTGAAACCCATGACAACAAATAAATATGGCTGTCGGTCAACATTTTGGGGGATCAAAAAATGTGCGTAAAAATGATTTAACTTCTCAAAATATAATACCTAATAGTGGGACTACGGTTATATATAACAAAACCGGGATCTATATTGATAATTTTTGGTAGTGAATTTTGACAGCCAATAAGAATGTAAAATATGAAATTACAACCAATTCGTTAGAAATTTTTAAACAAAAAAAATTAATAATTTTTAGCACTGAGATGTGGTGGTAACGTTATATGACAACCCAAAATACTAATATGCAGCCAATTCGGTTAGACACGGTGTCCAAAATCAGAAAATTTCAAAATAAAGTTTTAGTATGGGGATTTGACACCAAAATGGTTGAAAACGTGTCAAAAATACCGAAAACTTGGGGTACCCTTATATGGGGCTAACCTGAAACTTTGATCAATATTAATAGTTTTTTGTACAGATATGTGTTATACAATGGGAACCCAAAATACTAAATTACAGCCAATTCGGTCGAAAAATGTGTTCAATATCCCCAAAATACCGAATATTGGGAGTTCCGTACGTGGAGGCTACACCAAAACGACCATAATATATCCCATTTGCAATACCAAACATCCTAGGTGTACTAGCAATGTCTGGAAAATTTCAGAGCTCTATCATAGATAGAATTTTCTGACCAAGAATATATATACTTTGTGTCTTCGGTGAATATTTCGATGTGTTGCAAACGAAATGACAAATTTAATATAAGGGGACGACACACTCTTTTAGTTAAAATATTCCAAATACTTGAATTAGGCAGCTATAATATTCTAATCATATACAACCGTATGCATTTATTTCAGTCCTATATCTACAACATGGCATACCAAACCCGTATAATTAACATTTCAATGGAATGAGTCAACAATGCTTGAATATTGTTTAATTATTCTGATTACGCCTAAAAGTATACTTCATAATATACAATATTTGTAATGAAACATTTCTCCGCTTACAGGTGTTAAAAATATCTGTCGTGATATCAAATTTATGCTGAAAATTAAAACCTCCATATACTATCGGATTTGTTGGGGCATTGTTACACCAGTTTTTATGACTGCCGTTTTAATTTATATGCTAGTCGACTATGAGCCACTGAAATACAATGATACATTTTATCCCGAGGGTTTATATGGTAAAATACTTCTAATTTATATCTATAAATATTATTTCAATTGTGTTTGTTGTTGTTTTTCAGCTTTGGGTTGGTGCATATCAGCTGTTGGTATTGGACAACTTTTAATATGGGGTTTCTATACAGCATATACGGCACCCCAATATAGCTTCGGACAACGTTTTAAAATTGCATTTAAACCTACCTCCGAATGGGGACCACTTGATAACACAACCCTTAAGGAATATAAGGAATATATTCAGAGTTTTGAGGAATCTTGTGCGCCAAAGAGAAAAGGATTTTGGTATAAATTTTATGATAATATTTTTGGTTAATTCTTGTTAAATTTTAGTTTGTAAATGTGGAATTTAATCAAATCAGATCAAATCTGTTGTTTATTAGATTATTGACTGAATAAATATTAAAACTGTTGTTGCACTGTATAATACAAAATAAATGAGAAAGAAATGTATTCAGTTCATTATATGGAGTTCTGAAATCTAGAGTAATTGTTGAGAATCGTTTCTATCCTTCACGTTTGCTTGATTGATGTGGTTCATGCGAGACGTTTCATTGTTATTTTATGGGGAAAAAAATTACAAATCGTGTTATCTCTAGAAGAGGTGACCACAATTGACCACCGGGATCTTGTGAAGATAACGTCTTAGCCAATAGATGTCGAGCTTGACTAATAGAAATATAAAGGTTGAAATATCACAAAATTATTTATAAAATTAAATAAATAATAAAATTAAAAAAAATATATAAAATAATTAAAAATATATGATCTGAACATTGTAAATGATGAAACCAAAAACCGTACAAATCTATACAGTAGAAAGAAGAATTAATGTCATAATTATTTTTGAATTTAAGAAAGATCGTATAAGGAAAAGGCCAGAGACGGACGGGCCGACTATATGATATCCTATATTACTTTCCATTTTTAAATGGACTTCATTACAATAACCTGTGTCTCGTCCCTAGAGCAACACAAATATTGTCAGACTACTTAGCGTTCTGAGCCATCAACACACTTCCGAAAAGTTGCGCAAAAAACATGCGTATATCAAGGCTAGAAGCAAAAGCAGTAAAAATACCCATTTAAGAGTCTAACGGAATTTGTGAGATGGAGCGTGGACGAGTTATGGAAACAATAAAGAAAGTTATTTATTTTTCGGAAAAGAACCGAAAAATCAGATTGCCTTCGCAAAGGCTCATACTAATTGGAATCCGACTCAGTGGAGAAATATTAAAGACTCAGACGAATCGAATTTGCGGTGAGAAAGCCTAAAAATGAAGGACTCCGGCCAAGGGTTCTGAGTGGCGGGTCAATAATGGAACTAGGCTGTTTTCCTTTTATATTGTTCGTCTATATACGATATTGGATCGGATTGTTTATACAAATGTGTTGGAAAACGCAATAGCTCCCTTCGCTGAACAGAATATACCGCTTGTTTGGATGTTTCAGCTTGAGAGTAAATTTTGCATTTTTTATTTTTAGAACTGAATAAATAACCTATTTTTTATTAAAAAAAAACTTCACTATAAGTTTATTTTTAGAAAAGTCTCATATTTTGCTTGCAAGTTCAGTTGCATTAGTTTTGGCCAGTGTATGAAACGACTTAATTGCATGTCAATCGGAAATCCTTGGGGATATTATAATTATATATTAAATCTATATGTAAATCTGGGCCGATTCAAAGAAAATTTCAAACTCGTCATTCGGAATGCTGCAGCTATGTAACATTGAATGACATCCGGTCGAAAATTGGTACGACCGTTGTATATTAACATGGCCCAATATGCCTGATGATCCGGTTTACCGACGCGTCGCATAATGGTGGGTTCGTAGGTTTTTCTCCTGGCTTTCCTTTTCATTGTAAAACCTTTATCATTATGATCGACTCGAAAGAGAAAAAACTTAAATTAAAATTCTTGATCAGCGTAAAATTATATTTGTGTTCAAATCTCTACAACAAAAATTATAAATATAGGTGCACTCTTTCGCTTTTGGAATTTTTGAGTGCGATTTTGAGTAAATCGCTGTATTTTGTTACTTTAGATCCTAATTGGGTACTAAATTTTCCCGCCAAAAGTACTAAATATTTGTCCAAATTTTTGGGCAGCCCTTCGTATAACGTTACTGCCAAATGTTCTGTATTTTGAGGGTTTTGAGCGCGTTTTCAACCGAATTCTCTTTAATTTGTTATTTTGCATTTCGTAATTTGGTAATTATTACGATTCTTCACCTTTTGGGGTAGTCCCCACATAACCCCATTTTTATACCCTCCACCATAGTATGGAGGGTATATTAGTTTTGTCATTCCGTTTGTAACTCATCGAAATATTCATTTCCGACCCTATAAAGTATATATATTCTTGATCAGGGTAAAATTCTAAGACGATCTAGCCATGTCCGTCCGTCTGTTTTAATCACGCTATCTTCTGAAGGAATTGAGATAGAGTGCTGAAATTTTGCATAGGTTTGTATTTTCTCTGCAGGCAGGTTAAGTTCGAAGATGGGATATATCGGTCCACGTTTAGGCATAGCTCCCAATTTTAGGTATTTTGGGGTTATTGAGCGCGACCGAATATGCTGAAATTTGGTACATTGGGTTCTTTTTGGGTACTAAATGTCTCCACAAAAAATTATGAATATAGGTCAATTTTTTCTGGTAGCCCCCATATAACGGTACCTCCTAATTTTCAGTATTTTGGGGGTTTTGGTCGTATTTTTCCACCGAATTGGCTGTAATTAAGTATTTTGAGTTCTTAACAGGTACCAAAACTCTCCACAAAAAATTATAAATATAGGTTCATTTTTTCGGATAGCCCCCATATAAGGGTATCCCCAATTTTCGGTATTTTGGGGTTCTTGAGCGCGTTTTTCAACCGAATTCGCTACAATTGGTATTTTGTAGTCGTATATGGTAACAAATCTCCCTACCAAAAATTTTAAATATTCGTCCCTTTTTTGGGGTCGTCCCCATATAACCCCCTTTTTATATGATTTGTTCCGTGTTTGGGTTTGTTTCTAAGACTCAGTTGTAATCATTTCGGCCCGGCCGAACTTAACGCTTTTTCACTTGTTTAAATTAAAGTAGTTAAGTATAGGACAGCAGTGCCCAAAATAGGTCCCATGGGCTGTCGGTGTGTGTCAAATTGCTCACACATACAATTATAAAAGAGAAACATTTGAAAATAAAAAATATTTTCAAAATTCCTTTTTGTTTTCATACACTAACCGAAAAACTGGGGATATTTTGGGAAACATTAGTTAGGAACAAGTCGAAATATGCGATCAATTCTATGGCGGAAGGGCAAAACAGAAACAAATATATCTTTATACGGGAAAATGTATCATGAACGACCAAATTAACTTGGAATATAAATTTTTTCCTTTAATTTTCAGTATTTTGAGGATTTTATACACATGTCCCATCCGTGCGTTATAAATAAAGGTCCACGTTTTGGGACTTTGAGATTTTAGGAAACATAACCATCCATAATTAATGAATTTTTGTTCCCTATATCTTAATTTAAAAACCAGTAAGGAAAGCAGTAAAGTCGGACGGGACCGAATATTTGATACCCTTTTCCAATTTGGCTATATTCAAGAGATGCATCCTAACACACCTCGCATTTATGAAGGAACTTTGACATGAAAGTAGACTACATTAAATATGTGATCTGTTTCTATATGTGAATCGATCATTTCGAACCCTATAAAATATATATTTTTGATCAGCGTAAAATTCTAGCCTCTAAACGAATTGGGATAGGTCGCCAAAATTGTACATTGATTTGTTTTTTTTTTTTTTTTTTTTTTTGCAGGCAGGTCAAGTTCGAAAATAAGCAATATGGGTCCATATTTAGACATATCCCCCATACAAGGCTACCCCAAATTTTTGGGTTTTTGAGCGCGCGAATTCGCTGAAATTTTACAATGGGGTCTTATTGGGTACCAAATGTCTCCACTAAAATCATAAATATCGGTAGACCCCATATAACGATACCCCCAATTTTGGGTTCTTGAGCGTGCTTTTCAACCGAATTCGCTGAAATTTGGCACAATGAGTTATTCTTGGGTACATCAATCCACACACATATTCGCGGTAACTTATGCAAAATTCCATGTCATTAGGGCAGACTTAGATTCGTTTCTGTGCAATGGGACACAATTATGTAAATCGATTTAAGGGAACCCCACCCATTCTCGATTTTAATTTTTCAAGATTTTCAATGGGCTGGTAAATCAATACCAATGCTTGTTAAGGTTTGTAACTTTGCACATATATATTTGAAGATTTAAAAGAGAAGAAAAATAATTTACAAAAAAATTTTGTTATTGTTTTGTTGTTGTTTTTTGTAATTAAAGAAAAATCCTTATTTTTGATGGCGGGCATGATAACTCCTCGCTGGAACATCAGAATCCGAAAATTCCAACGGTGTTAGGAAGAGTACATGTCTGGCTCTCGTATGAACTAGGATTATTGACTTCGCTCTAAAATTAACAAAATGGCGGACCTTTGAAAAAATATTTTTGGAAAATCGCCAATTGTTGACCAAAAACCTAGTTAAAAAATAAGGAAGATCTTCACCGATTGGCTTTATCCTAGTTCATACAATAGCTATACACTCACAGAGAAACGTGTGAACATTTGGAATCGATTGGGTTATTCGTTTTTGAGTTATCGTTCCCGCCATTTGCAAAAGAGAAAAACGCGTTTAAAGTTTGAGAAGCCCTTTAGCCGTCACTTGATGCTGACACAATAAATCGGCTATATTTTCAAGAGTTCTTGAGATTTTCACTTGAAATTTTGTAAGGACATTCTTGAATTAGTGTAGATTCGAATTAAATCAAAACAAAATTTTGACCCCGAGAATGGGGGGTCCCCTTAAATAAACCTTTTCAATATGCTACAACACCGACCGCTGTACAAAATATAATCCCCAGTTCATACATAATTATCTGTTCATTATTTTCTGCACCCTTTAATTGTTTGGTCCACCATTTACTAAAAATCGGACGAAAACATATACGCCAGCAATATCTAAATGTGGCCGGATTTTAATTATAAGTTGGCACACGTTAGGCTATCCTAAAATTATTACGTTATGAAAAATGTCGTGCCAATCGGCCCAAATTTGACTCTTTGGTGCACAATTTACTAAGAATCGTTCGAATATATATGGGAGCTATGTAATACAAAACGTCTCTCTGTATTTTAATGTATCATTACAAGTCTTCATACATTACTTTAACTACATATACCAAAATACCTAACTATAGAATTTTTGGTTAGAAAATGTGCCTAAAACCCTAAAAATTCCGAAAAGTGGAGGGGACCTTTTT